ATGGAGAGCCGATATAATTTTCCTTCAAGAGACCAAAATTGAAGAGTGGACAACTAGATTGACACACCAAGTTTTGGGGGAATAGAAGGGAAGATGGGGCATAATTGAAATCTTGTGGTGCCACTGGAGGGGAGGTAATTCTATGGGATAAAAGGCAATGGAGTTGTATAGTAATTCAACAAGGTTCTTATTCACTTTCTTGTATGCTAGAGGGCCTTCAGAAAAATTTTAGGTGGTGTTTCACCGGGGTATATGGTCCTCACTCAAATCCAAAAAGAGAAGTGTTGTGGCATGAACTAGCTGCAGTATGAACCTTGGGTAATAGGTGGTGATTTCAATGTTTGTCAGCTTAAAAGTGAAAGATACAATTGCATCCAGAAGTCCACAGCAATGAAAGGTTTCTCTGATATCATAGGGGATTTTGGCATCATTGATTTACCATTACATGGAGCCTTTTACACCTGGTCTAGAGATGAGGATTTCATTCAAGCTTCACGAATTGATAGATTCTTAATTTCACCAGAATGAAATGATTGTTTCAAAGAAGTGAAACAGTTGGTTCTTCCTAGAGTTATCTCTGATCACAGACCAATTTCTCTTGAAAGCGGAGAATGGGATGCTAACCCTTCCTATTTCAAATTCGAAAATATGTGGCTCCAAGTAGAAGGATTCCTAGACAAAGTAAAAGGATGGTGGAACAGCTACATAGTCAAGGGCAGTCCAGATTTCATTCTGGTATAAAAACTAAAACTCCTTAAAAAAGATATCACTACTTGGAACAAAGAAGAGTTTGGAAAAGTGGAGACCCGAAGAAGCAGATCACTGGAAGAGCTAATGGCACTAGAACAAGTCACTGAAGGTAGAACATTATCAACAGATGAGGCATCCAAATTGCTAGATTTAAAAATAGAACTTCAACAGCTTGCTAAGATTGAAGAAGTCTCATAGAGACAAAAATCTAGATGTCTATGGCTTAAAGAAGGGGACAGGAACACCAAGTATTTTCAGAAAATGACAAACTCTCACAAAAGGAACACCAAGTATTTTCAGAAAATGATAAACTCTCACAGAAGGAACACCTACACTGACAAGCTCAAAATTGGCAATGAAATCATTGAAGAGAGGGGACAGATTAAGGAGGAAATTTTAGACTTCTATCAAAAGCTCTATACTGAAAATGAGACTTGGAGACCAACTGCAGACTTTGAAGATCTGGCAAGTATCAATGAAGAAGAAAAGATAGAACTGGAGAAAGCTTTTGAGGAAGAGGAGATTTTAGCAATTATTCAATCATGTGCACCTGATAAGGCACCGGGTCCGGATGGCTATACAATGGCCTTCTTCCAAAACACATGGGGAATCATCAAGGCAGATGTAATTCAAGCACTATACCATTTTCATCAACACTACCATATGGTTAAGTCTTGCAATGACTTATTCATTTCTCTAATTCCTAAAAGGAAAGGAGCAATTGAGCTCAAGGATTATAGACCAATAAGCCTAATTGGCAGTGTTTATAAAATAGCTGCAAAGTTACTGGCTGAAAGATTGAAAAAAGTGATTGGGAAACTTATTTCTAGACATTAAAATGCCTTCATTAAAGTCAGGCAAATCATAGATGCGGCCTTAATTGCCAACGAAGTTCTTGACTGGAAACTGAAGAGAGGAGAATCAAGCATTTTATGTAAGTTAGATATAGAGAAGGTCTTTGATCAACTCAAGTGGCAATTCCTCATCACAATGCTAAGAAAGATGGGATTTGGTGATAGATGGATCAAATAGATAAAATTCTGCATTAGTACTGTGAAATACTCAGTCTTAGTCAACTCTAGCATAGTTGGGTTTTTTTTTCCCACAGAAAGGAATCAGGCAGGGAGACCCCCTCTCCCCTTTTCTCTTTATTTTGGCTATGGAAGGGTTAAGTAGAATGCTTGAAAAAGTAAGAGACTTGGAATAGATAAAAGGTTTTGAAGTAGGGACTAGTCAAGGGAATGTAATAATAGCATGTTAAGGTGTATGCATGTGCGAAGTGTATGAGTACAGCTCAGATTAGGCAAGTACGCCATATAATAACGAGTATTATGTTCAAATAGGAAATCAAAGCCTACACATGATCTCTAGCATGATTCAACACGTTCACGTGGCCATACAAACATATAAAACATGATAGCAGGAAGACAGTATCCAAAACAAGGCATGATATAGCCTAAAGACTACCCCGAGTATGGGTAAACCCGGTGCACGTACATACACTCATCATCTTGTATATATGTCACTCCTGCATGTAACAAATAATGTCAGTTATTAGGAAAAATTCCCTCAAACCAAAGCTAGGCAAGACACTTACTTCATCCAGGCTAGTCTTCAATCTCAAATCGCGTCAAAACCTCGCTCTAGCCCTCCAATCACGGCCAAACTTTGTCCAAGGAAGTCACAAAATACTATATAAAGCAACCTCAATCAATAAAGTTTCGATCTTTGATAAATTTTTAAAAAGTCAACAAATGTCAACCAAGCTCACATGCCCGAAATCCAAAACCAATACCAGATCCCGATGACCCATAACCTGCAAAGTCTAAATATATAATAAGTTTCCAAAATCGAGTCCAAATCAATACTCAAATCCTCAAAATATACTCTCTTAAGGTGTAAATAAAAACCCCAAATTTCACTTTAAAATTCCAAGTTTTAGATGTAGAAATCTATAGGGAATCAATATATAGAACCAAATCCAAGTTAAAATTCTTTACCTCCAATGTAGTTGTGAAATTGCTCTTCACAATCACCTCCTCTCGAAGTGTAGGGCGCAAAATATGAAAGAATAGGTAAAACATAGAAAATAACAACTTAAGTAGTCTGCCCAATACTATTGTTCGCGAGTGTGACCCCGGCTCCACGTTCGCGAAACACAATTCAAAGCCACTGCCAAAATACCCTTTGCAATTGCGACATCAACCTCGCGGGCGCGATAGCCAACTGTCTCCACTCCCTCGCGAACGCGAGCAACATCTTCGCGAACATGAAGGCTAAATCCTCCCCTGCCAGCTCCACCTCTTCACGGACGCGAGCCCTCCAGCGCGACTGCGAAGACCACCCACAACCTGCCTCTACCTCTACGCGAACGCGACCTCCTTCTCGCGAACGCGATGCTCCTGGCCGCTAACACTACACGAACACGATCCTATCCCTCGAACGTAAAGAACAACTGACCCAACTCCCAAAACACTCGATGTTATCGCGAACCTACTCACGCAATCGCGAAGCTCATCGGAGATAACCAGAAACCAACAATGCAAACTCAATCGAAATTATCTGAAACCACCTTGAAACACATTTGAGCCCCTCGAGACTCTATCCAATCATACCAACAAGCACAAATACATAATTCAAACTTATCCAGAGGCCCAAAACACCATAAATGACATCAAAATCAAGAATTAAGGATCAAATCATTCTCTTAACTTTCAAAAATTCAAACTTCGGCGAACGCCCCCGAACCACAATTAGACATTCCTCATCATAACCAAACTTTTCCCACTAAGTCGAATCAACTAAATGAACCTATCCAACATCTCAAAACCACAATAGGAGTTTCGATAACATCGAAATCAACTTCCGGTCAAACCTATAAACTCTTCAATTATTCAGATTGCCAACTTTCGACAAATAGAGCCAAAACCTTCTAGAAAAATTCAAATTCAAATCCGAACATATGCCTAAGTCCAAAATCACCATATGAACCTATTGAAATCATCAAATCCCGATTCCAAGGTCATTTAATCAAAAAATAAATTTTGATCAACTCTTCTAACTTAAGGCTTTCAAATTGAGAATCACTATTCCAAATAAATCTTGAACCTCTCGAACATCAAAACCAACCATATACGCAAGTCATAATGCATCATATGAAGCTACTCAAGGTCTCAAAACTACCAAACAGGATGCTAAAGCTTAAAATAACCGGTCGGATCATTACACATAAATAGACAATGCTACCAATAATTAGCCATCAAATCATGATACCAAAAAATGCCATAAAAAATTACCAATATAATATAACATTAAAAAAAATTATACAAAAAATAATTTTAATGGATATGATTGGAATTTATCGAAACACATAAATAAGGCAATATACAAAATTTGAGAGAGATTGGAGGTGATTTGGACTGGTTTGAAATTAAAATTCATTAGTAATGATATAAAACATTCAAGAACCCTAAGCAGAAAAAGTTTTTCTCCAATTGGTATGGTCGAAATTTATTGAAAATATATAGATAAGGCAATATATAAAATTTAAGGAAAATTGGAGTTGATTTGCACTAATTTGGAGTCAAAATTCATAGTTAAAATCGAGTTTAAAATTTTCTTTGCGACATATGTATTTAACATGTATCTCACATACATCACACATAGATATACATGGATATACAAGTCATACCTAAGGGGTACACATTTGATATATCGGAGATATACAGTGAGATACACATATTATTTTCTTCCATGTTCATCTTCTACTTCGAATTTGGTTCAAATTTCAGTCCAAACCACCTCAAATCTCCATAAAATTGTCCCAAAATTGAGATTCAAACTCATTAAAATATACCTAATATATTCCAATAACAACACTCAAAACAAATTCTAATTTCGAAAACCCAAATTTCAAATTCAAGCTTAAGTGAGATCCAAAATTGTTACCATGAATCAAAATATTTCATACAAGATACGAGTTTTGTACGAATTAGATTTCTCCTTAATTCGGTAGACAACACTAAATAATTTCTCATTCATCAATTATTGCCAGATTATATATTGACATGATATTTTATATATATAGCCTCCTCGCGCAAATCACCTATTTAGAGGCTTCCGCAGAGGATGGGCCTTCAAGAGAAAACTAAGTGGACCTAACTAGGCCCATGCCCATCGAAGCAGCTTGACTTGCTTGACTCATTTTACTCGCAGCCCTTCCCCTTGTTCGTATTTATAACCTTACCACGAAACCACCACACACACACTCTCTCTCTCTCTCTCTCTCTCTCTCTCTCTAGCTCCGCCTTATTTTCGGTGTTTTTCCGACACAATTTCGTAACTCCGGCCGACGGCCAAAGAGTTTATCACCGTCTTTCTCCTCTAATTTCAAGCTGCTATGTCTCAGGTTTTGATCTTTCTCAACTTTCAATCATCTTTCTTTTCTTTTTTATCATTTATTCAATAAAGTTTCAATTTTTTTCTTGTGATATTCCCTATTTCGTTGCTTAAGATCTTTCTATCTACCCCTGAAAGTATTTTCATTTTTATCCTAAGTAGGATATTGGGTCGATACATAGAAGCTAGGGTTTCTTTTTGGCTTTTACCTGAATCTATAAAAGGGGTTTTGACTAATTTATAACGAACTATTGAAGGCTTTTTATTTCTGTTTTCTACTTATTGTTTGGCTTATTTACTAGTGTTGGAGCTAGATGTGTCTGAATCAGCGTTTTAAAAGGCGAGGCGTTTTACATACGACAAGCCCCATTGGTATTTAATTTTTAATATTTTATAAAATAATATAATTACAGTAAATATTTATAAATATGTAAAATTGTATAAAGATAAAAAATTGCATAAAATTTTTTAAAACTATAAATATGTGAAATATATATATAGAGGTGCTCCATCCCCACAAAAAACTAGTCAAAACAATCTATTATACGTTACTAGAAACACAAGTAAGTTGAGTCTAAAATAATAAAGTTTTCTGCCTGGAGGAACAAAAAGGATGACTAACCTGCAATTTAAACGTTGAACTTGTTGCTACGAAGGAGAATGTAGTTCTCTTTGTATTTGTAAAAAGAAAAATTGAATATTCGTTGCTTTTAGGATATATTAGCATATTAGCGGACAAAATAAAGAATTGGGAAAGACTATGAATTAGTGCTTCAATCAATAATAAAGGTGTTGACTTTTAAATTTAATACATTTCAGTTCTTTTTTAAAACTTTTGAGTAGTTACCAAGCTGACTTTTGAGAATTTGGTTATTATATGAAAGACTTATTCAACAAATTTTGTTTTAATTTGAAAAAGTCTCTGGGCCTCACTAAAAAAACGTGCCTCAAACGCCCGGTCATCCGCCCCGAATTGCTAGGCGTACGCCTCTTTAGACTTTCGCCACACACCATCGCCTCAGGGCTTTTTTGGTGCGCCTCGCCCCAAGGCTTGCCCCGAAAACGCCTTTTAAAACACTGGTCTGAATAGAGAGAGCGAATATATGAGGATTGATTCATATATGATACCCTAGTGTTGGAACGAGACGTGCCTAAATAGGGTGAAATTGATGTAGAGGATTGATTCATATAGGGGACCCCAATTTGTTTGAATTGATGAGTAGTTTAGTCATTGACTTGTTTGGGCTTTAAAACTTGTATTTTGACATGCTTTTTATAATTGTTTCCAGGTTGATAACAGAAATTCTTCTGCTGCCAAACGTGCCCGAACTGACGGTATGTATCCCGGTTCCTGAAGAGGAGGGAACCATTGGATCTTTAATGCTCTGATAGTTTTGTACTTCGTTGTTTCATTCTGTTATTTTTTGTTTTGTATTAAGTGGAGAGGGTTCACAATGTTTGCTCCCTACTAAAAGCTTCTAGCTTGTTGACATTGTAGGTGGCCGTAGGGAAGATGACTGGACATGTCCGAGCTGTGGGAATGTCAATTTCTCCTTCAGAACCACGTGCAATATGCGCAATTGTACTCAGTCTAGGCCTGCAGATCACAACTCAGTAAGATATCATCTACTTTCACGTTTTAGTTTGGGAGAGCTACGTGTATACCGTTAAATGATTTTATTAGTAAGTTGTGTTGTTTGTTTCTGTAAATTTAGCCTCCAACTGTGCAGTAAATTATTGTGCAAAGTTTGTTTTTGTAAGTACACTTGCATCTACTGCCTATATAATTTAGCATCAGTTTTCTGAAACACAGTTCTTAAAGTTAGCTTTTCATTTCTATATCTCCCCCCAAAACCCCAAACCAGGTTAACCCGTAGAGATGTTTGGGTAAACACAGTTCCTGATATCTAGCCTCAACGAATCAGCTGTTACCATGGGTGTTGCTTGGATTTTCATTTACGAGAGTCAAGATGCTTCATATTAACTCAACTCTATGTCTATTCACCTTGTTGTCTGACTACCTAGAGCCCCATTCGTTTCATTACTCGCTCTCTGATTCAGCATTTCTCTTAAATCCTACCTCCACATCATGCTCCATCTAAATTGATTATTGTGGTTGGTTGTTAGTTTTCTTACCTTTTCTTTTTCTCTTGCTAGCAATTATTTTCTTTGGAAATGATTAAAATCATCCAATGATCCAAGCTGGGAATTCGTTCCCAGTTTCTTAGCCTGCCAGGTGCCCTGAGTTCTTTTGCAAAGATGGTTTATGTTTATAGCATTTATGGAATATGCAACAGGGTTTAGTACCCTTAACGGTATTATGAAGTTTGTTCCTCTCCTTGTGCTTTCAGTTTAACTATGCCCAAGATGCTGGATTTATGGAGTGGTTTGAACCTTTGATTTTTTTCTCTTGCTGATGAAGGATAGATGAAAAGCCTTTTTTTTCAATCCAAATACTGAAAAACATGAGTAATGAGTGAAATCAATTCTAGGCTTGCTTTAAAAGGATTGTTACTTCTCCAAAGAGTTCGGCAGATTTCATTAAAACTCGTTTTTCCAGCCCAAGTTATCATGTGCCCTACTTTTGCTTAACCGTTTCCGACCCTCACGTTTGACACACCTTCTTCTTTGCATAACCACTAGCTTATAGCAATCATGCTAGAATTGCCAAAATCATTGAATATGTGAGACTATTTTTGAGCCTTAGATAGACGTTAACTTAGTGTTTTGTTTTAAAAGATGTCTTGTGGATGCATAGAATATACATGATAAAATGCATAAAAGCAGTGTCAAGGATGTAGAGATTATTTAAAGTTCTACATGCCCACACAATCATATTATCTGAGAATATATTCCTCAAGTCATGCTGGTCATCATGGCAATTTTGGTATTCACGATGACTAAGCATATCTTGCATGATCCACATCCTTCAAAAAGTATCTTAATTAGGTGAAAGATTCGTCATTCATGAACACTTTCACAATTTAACTTTCTAGTCTGAGTGTATCTTGAGTGATCATTGCTTATCTTGAAATTATAGTTAATATGAGATTTTAACAAATCTTGCTAATATTGACAAAGACTTTGCCTTTGTAGAAATCTGCAGTTAGACCAATGCAAGCTCCACAGAGCTATTCACCCTCTGCTGCATATGTTGGGTCTGGTGCACCCTCTTCAATGTATATGGGGGTAGCACCTTATGGTGGTTCTCTGTTCAATGGACCATCCATGCCAGCTTATGACGTTCCATTTTCTGGGGGTTCAGCTTATCATTACAATATTGGGAGCCGCCTTTCTGGGGGCAGCCCATACCGCCCACTACATTTCTCTGCTCCACCTCCTTACACTGGTGGGTCTGTGATTGGAAATGGTATGTATTCTTAACCTCAACCAATTATAAGTTAGAAAAAAACGAAGAGTGCTGCTTGGAGGTTTATATTTTAGTGCTGTAGTGCACGTCCCAGGTTTCCAGATGGATTAGCTTATTGCAGATTAAGGAATGTTTGTTTTGTCCATTACTAATTATGTGTCAATGTCACGCATGACATGTAAACAGCACTATGCTGTCAGACTTCTAACTTTGGAATAACCCGATATAGTTTCAGTTGTTCCATAATAATGTTGTGACTGAACTTTTTTGTTTACAGGTGGGATGTATGGTGTGCCACCACATATGGACCGATACGGTTTGGCATTGCCAATGGCCCCTGCTGGCATGGTAGGGTTAAGTTTCGGCTTTTTCTTGAACATGATTATCTTGTTTGACTATACTAGACTGTTGCAACTTCAACAGATGTTAACTGAAAAAAGAAAGAAAAGTGAGCTCGCCTAAAGAACAAATGGAAGAATTGTCCTTGAACAGCTTGCTCGATGTAGAACTCGATTGAGTTCTGGAAACAAAGATGGAGTGAGAGAGAATGAGAGATAAGAGAGAGATTCTTTTATTCCAAAATCTTCTAATGCCTTACAAAATGAGGAAAATGTCAACTATATAGAGGAAGGTGGGAAAGTTAGTTATAACTAACTTTTGGACTCCACTTCCTAGTTATTCACGCGCTTGTGCTAGTCACGTGAGGCTAACTAACCTAACAAACTACAATTGAATTGAAGCTGGTTCTTTTAGAATTGGGAAGTGCACTTATTAGGATCGTATCAAATACCCTCCTCTTCAAATAATCCTTGTCCTCAAGGATTGAAGTGAGTAAACCTCTGCTTAAGGTCGTGGTATTCTTCCCATGTACTGTCCTCAGGTGCGGCATTGAACCATTTGACTAGAACTTGAGATACAACTCTCCTATGCTTCTGAATCATCCGTCTATCAAGAATTGCTTCAGGTTCCAGCAGAACATGACCAGCTTCTCAGTGCACCACAGGCAAGGTGACTGCAGCTGAGTGAGACCCTATCTTTCTTTTTAGCTGCGAAATGTGGAATGTGGGATGGATCTTGGTACCAGCAGGCAGATCCAAGGTGTATGCTACTGATCCCACTCTAGCAAGGATCTGGAAGGGCCCAAAGTATTTGGATGATAGCTTCTGAAAACCATGCTGCTTAAGAGAGAGTTGTCTGTAGGGCTGTAGCTTGACATATACCCAATCCCCTGATGCATAAGTCCTGTCAGTCGTGTGTTTATCAGCTTGCACCTTCATTCTATTTTGAGCTTTCCCCAATTGGAACCTCAGTAATCTCAGAGTAGCTTCTCTAGCTTGGAGACTTCTATCCACCACATCTAGTTGGGAATCAAAGCTCATGTAGGGAAGTAAAGGAGGTGGTTTTTGGCCATACACTGCCTCATATGGAGTCAAGTTGGTGCTGGAATGAAAAGTGGTGTTGTACCACCACTCAGCCAAGGGCAACCACTGTGGCCATTCCTTAGGTATCTCAAAGGTCATGCACCTAAGGTAGCATTCCAAGCATTTGTTGACATGCTTATCCTGTATGGACTGAATAAGATGTTGGAGTGCAGGGTCTTGCCTCCATGTGGCTATAACTGTTTCTAAGAGGTCTGAGTTGACACCAGAGATGCTGTAAAGCTGGATGGATTCTTCTTTCCTGGACAAGGCATCAGCTACAATGTTCTCCTTCCCCTTCTTGTAGATTATAGAATAATCATAGCCAAGTAGTTTGACCAGCCATTTTTGTTGGCTTGGAGTGGTAATCCTCTGCTCTAGCAAGTATTTAAGACTGTGGTGGTCAGTTTTGATGATAAATGGCCTTCCTAGTAGATAAGGTCTCCATTTTTGTACAGCAGAAACCAATGCCAACAGCTCCCTTTCATAGACAGACAATGCCTTGTTCTTGTCTAATAATCCCTTGCTAAAGAAGGCAATTGGCATGTTATCCTGTGCTAGGACAACTCCAATTCCCCCTTCAGAAGCAACTGTTTTTACTGTGAATTCCTTGGAAAAATCTGGAAGGGCTAGGACAGGAGCTGATGTGATAGCTAGTTTCAAGTCTTCAAATGCAGCAGTTGCTGCAAGATTCCACTGAAAATTGCCCTTTCTGAGCAGGTCATTGAGGGGCCTTGCAATGATGCCATATCCTTTGATAAATCTCCTATAGTAGCTAGTCAGCCCTAAGAATCCCCTCAGCCCCTTTATGGTGGTGGGTAGTGGCCAGTCTAGCACACCCTGTATCTTTTGCTCATACATAGCTACACCTTGCTCAGAAATGATGTGGCCTAAGTAGTCAATCTGTGTGACCTCAAAAGCATATTTGCTTTGTTTAATGAACAATGTATGAGATCTAAGGACCTTGAAAGCTTCCTCTAAATGCAACAGATGGTCATCCCAACTTTGACTATATATTAAGATGTCATCAAAAAAGAGCACACCCTGTATCTTTTGCTCATACATAGCTACACCTTGCTCAGAATGTGGCCTAAGTAGTCCATCTGTGTGACCCCAAAAGCATATTTGCTTTGTTTAATGAACAATGTATGAGATCTAAGGACCTTGAAAGCTTCCTCTAAATGCAACAGATGGTCATCCCAACTTTGACTATATATTAAGATGTCATCAAAAAAGAGCACACCCTGTATCTTTTGCTCATACATAGCTACACCTTGCTCAGAATGTGGCCTAAGTAGTCCATCTGTGTGACCCCAAAAGCATATTTGCTTTGTTTAATGAACAATGTATGAGATCTAAGGACCTTGAAAGCTTCCTCTAAATGCAACAGATGGTCATCCCAACTTTGACTATATATTAAGATGTCATCAAAAAAGACTAAGATGAATTTTCTGAGATAGTTGTGAAAAATCTAGTTCATTAGGCTTTGGAAGGTAGAAGGGGCATTTGTTAAGCCAAAAGGCATAACCATGAATTCATAATGGCCATGATGGGTTCTAAATGCAGTTTTAGGTATGTCTGGTTCAAACATTCTAATTTGATGATATCCTGACCTTAAATCCAGCTTAGAGAAGTATTTGGCACCATGAAGCTCATCCAGCAATTCTTCAATCACAGGTATGAGTAACTTGTCCTTCACTGTGCAGCTGTTCAACTCCCTGTAATCCACACACAATCGCCATGATCCATCCTTCTTTTTCACCATTACAATAGGAGATGAATAGGGGCTGGTGCTGTGCCTGATAACTCCAGAAGTTAGCATCTCATTCACCATCTTTTCAATCTCATTTTTCTGAACATTAGGATATCTGTAAATCATGTAAATCCTGATGTTGATAGGAGAGACACCTTATTTCAAAGTGATCTTGTGATCATGTAGTCTTGAGGGAGGTGGTTGTGTTGCCTCCTCAAACAAGTCACTGTACTTCTGCAATATAGACTGCAGCTCCCAGCTCATACTTGGTTCTTTTGGCATGCCTTCCAGTGTGAAAAGACTGATTTCAACTCCTTGTTGATTCTCAAGGAATAAACCCACAAATATCATACACAGCTCTGGAGGTTTGGCTAATAGCTTGTCCGTACTGGCCTGCTGAATCATCTTGGTTGCAGGAGGTTGAACTCCTCTCAATGACACCTTATGTCCCATGATACTGAACTCCATCCTGAGTTTCTTAAAGTTCCACATAATGTCACCCAGTGTGATTAACCATCGAATTCCCTAGACCATATTACAACCTCCAATTGGCAGCACTAACATATCAGAATCAAAAGAAACACCTTGCATTTTCCAAACCAATCTTTTACATATATAGTTGCTCTGCACCTTTCCATCAGCAACAGATACATCAAAAGGGGATATAGCTGTCAAAACACATCCTAACTTCTTGGCAGTGTTTAGGTCCAAGAAATTGTGAGTGCTCCCAGTATCAATTAGAACCTGCACAGCCTTTCCCTTGACTGACACAGTTACTCTCATAGTTCTAAAATCATGCAGTCCATTCATGGACTGATACATGAGGTAGAATGGACCCCTCAGCATCAGTCTCCAACCCTTGACCTATCATTGTTAACAATTCTGCCGGATCTAACATCACTTCCTCTTCCAACTCAACTTCCTCTATTCCCTCCTCTACCTCCATAGAAAATAATTATCTCCAGTTCTTACACACATGCCCAAAGCTATACTTCTCATCGCAATTGTAACATAGTCCCTTACTCCTTTCCTCCATTTCAGCTGGGGTTAATTTCTTGGCATTCCTGTAGGTAGATTTTGTAGATGTAGTAGGGAAATTTAGAGGTCGACTGGAAGGTTGGCTAAATTTGGAGGGCGTTGGAGCAGAGTGTTGGGAGAATTGGGAATTAACAGAAGGGAATTTTGGGGTGTTTTTGGTGGAGTAAGATGGAATTGAGGTGGCCATGAAAACCTGCTTCTGTACAACCAAGGTTTGTTCCTGAATCTTAGCTAGACTAATTGCCTTAGCCAAAGTTCTGGGTGCCAACATTTTGACAGGTAAACCAATTTCTGGTTTCAATCCCCTAACAAAACAACTAACATACTCTTCTGATAATTCTACTCTAGTAAGCAATTCATCAAACATATCAACATAGTCTTGCACAGAGTTTACATGTCTCAAATCCTTGAAATCTCCCACGGGGTCGTCAAACAATTCAAATCCAAATCTGGCATACAAACAAGCTACATACTCACCCAAGCGAGGCCACTCTCTAGTCACCCGATGCTTCATGTAGGATTGGTGCCATTGTAGTGCCTTTCCTTCCAACTTGCACGAAGCCAGTTTCACCTTAGAATCCTCAGGAGTGCCATCCACAACAAAGAATTGCTTGCATTTATACAGCCAGTCCTTCAACCCTAGGCCCTCAAAGGCTGGGAACTCCACATGATAATCGCGAGTTGGTAATTGGTAACCTCTAGGTCGCGTAATCACCACTTCTGGACCTTCATTTTCAGCAGGAACCTCATGTTGATGACTCCCAGTAGTAGTCAAATTATTCAGCAACAATTTCCTGATTTCCTCCATAGCTTGGGCCACCTTATGATCCACAGAACTTATCAATTCCGAAACAGAAGTTGTGACTGCATCCATCGAACCCTTGAGATTGTCAACTTCCTTACGCAGCTCTTGCATACGAGTATTGTGATCACCTATTTCCACATATCCAAGGAGCAAAAACCTCTGATACCAATGTTGCAACTTCAACAGATGTTAACTAAAAAAAGAAAGAAAACTGAGCTCGCCTAAAGAACAAATGGAAGAATTGTCCTTGAACAACTTGCTCGATGTAGAGCTCGACTGAGTTCTGGAAACAGAGATGGAGTGAGAGAGAATGAGAGATAAGAGAGAGATTCTTTTATTCCAAAATCTTCTAATGCCTTACAAAATGAGGAAAATGTCAACTATATAGAGGAAGGTGGGAAAGTTAGTTATAACTAACTTTTGGACTCCAACTCCCCAGTTATTCACGCGCCTGTGCTAGTCACGTGAGGCTAACTAACCTAGCAAACTATTACAACTGAATTGAAACTGGTTCTTTTAGAATTGGAAAGTGCACTTATTAGGATCGTATCATAGACAGTCGGCATTAAATTTTGGTTCATTACAGTTTTAACTGAATATTTCATTTTTCTTTATACACCGCCTAATATTTCTCCCCTTCCGGTATTTATGTCGCACAATTTTAATCTTTCTCGATAAGTTATGTCATCACCCTTGTGGCAAATGCTTATCACAGAGTGAATGATGATTTTCTGTTCAGTTAAGAAGAGACTGAGTAATATTAATTCTTAATGCAGGCACCAAGGCCGGGTTTTTATCCTGAAGAAAATTCTCAAAAGAAAGGTGGTGTTCTGCAGTATATATTCTATCCCTGTATTCTGCATTAGTTTCATGGCATCTGTAATTATTACCTTCTTTTCCATATTTTCCGCAGATGGAACACGTGATAATGACTGGAAATGTCCTAAATGTGGAAATGTCAACTTTTCTTTTAGAACAGTTTGTAACATGAGGAAGTGCAACACTCCAAAGCCTGGTTCTCAGGTTTGACTTGCTGTCATGTTCCAGGATCTATACCTGATAATATACGATATTGTTTCGTTCTTAGTATCCACCACCAATTTTGAACTATTTTGAATGAAGTTTAGGTTATCTTGGACCAAAAATGTTATTTGCTATCAAGAGTTCTGTATGTGCTAAGTTTACATTAGATGATCTGATTTTGAAATTCAAGTTGACTTCTTGTTCTTCCTACTTATCTCAACTCTGGAAGTTGTTTCACAACTACATTTTGATTTCTTGTTGACTATCTTTATTTGCAACACAGGTTTCCAAATCGGGGAAGAATACTAGTAAGTTTTCGTCCTCTAGCATGCTATATTTTACTAATTCTAATTAACTTTCTAACAACTCCAAATTTCAGAGCCAGAAACGCCAGAGGGAAGCTGGAAATGTGAGAAATGCAACAACATAAACTATCCTTTTCGGACCAAGTGTAACAGACAGAATTGCGGTGCAGAGAAACCATCTGAGTCCAAAAAGTCTCCTTCACAATCAGATGATGAGAATGATCAGGTCTGTTGTGTGATACACTTGATTTGTATGATTATTTTCTGCCTAAAGTTGTCTATAAGTTGTGAATCATCTATGTATTCCTTGTACAGTTTACGTATATTATGCTCAAGACACTTTGTAGCTTTGAAACTCTGTGTAGGAAGTATACCCGCTATCCTCCAAAAGGGAACTATTTTGTCTAGTTTCTCTCTTCTTCTCCTATTTCTGATACTTCCTGCTTGTTCTTCTTGTTTACTTTATCCTTTTCTTTTTGTGTTCGTCGGCATCTATTAATTTGGTTGTCTACTGTTCCAGTGAGTACTAGGGCTTGTTTAAGGGTTGAGAAGGTCCAGAGTTGTCGTCCAGCATTGCTCAGTGTGGGTGTCTGAAAGTCAGTAATGTCACCTTCCTGTTGCAGCGGTTGTCAAGTTACTGTGCCTTAATGTGGTGTCAAAGTTGTACTAACTGAAATTGGTACCTTGTGGTCCTTATGGATTCTTGACGAGTTTCATCAAGTGTCTACCAGCTTTTTCTGGCTGGATGCTATTGAGGTTGATTTGGTTGATGTTCAATAGGATTTCTTCTGGTATTGCTGCACCTATGTTAGATGGGTTGTTGACATCCATTTGTGTTAGGTGGTAATTAAAAAAAAAAAGCCTGATGTAGCCTGTTTTTATCCTGGTCTTTTATTGTGTTTCAAATGTATTCGGTGTAGCCGGAGTAACATGTCCAGGTTGCATACATCAAGGTCCATGGTCTAGGATCTTTTGGTTTTCTCCCAAAACAAAATGGGGCAGAGAATCTGTTGATTAGGAGTGTCTTCCCGAAGGTAAGTTGAACATGAGCATTGTCTTATTGTTCATTAGCCCCTAATGTAGATTGTCGTATCGCATTTGATCTACCATTAAGAAAAAAAATTCTAGGTTGGGGTTTCACGTTAGGTGTTAAATATTTTTGCCCATGAAAATATATTCCGCTCAAACCTGTCTGGTGTGCTGGGCATATATTCATAAGTCTGTCATCTCTATCTTATAGATTATAATCCTAGCACATTATAATTTGGTAATTAAATAATTTATAAAAAGAGCAGACAACTAAAATGATATTGAGGTGGATGGGTTTAGTTATAATCTACTGTTTAGTCCAAATTGAGTCTCTCATATTTATCCAAGCATACGTTAGCAGAGTTTATTGATTTGACCTGTTTTAACCACTCAAATATAGCCGTGACCTGTCTATTTTGTGCTCCTATTTTGCATCAGAGGTCCTAGAAACTTAGCTCCAGGAAAGAATCAATTGAGTTCAAAGTATTCTCTAACCGTTTGGGAAGACTCACTTCATGGATTGTACCATTAGACAATTGACATGCATTTCATATCCATCATCTCATCTATGTAAAAACAACAAGTTGCATTGAATTTGCGGATATGAGAATTTGGATCGTGGCTTTTAAGTGTTTACTTAGACTGCAGTGGGAAATATTCCCTTCAAACATACAGTAGTATTAACCTGTTCTCGAGAATCAATCGATTTTATTTTAATATGGTAAGCGCTTGTTGAAAGGAGGAAGCATTAACATGTACCAAGTGCCAAAAACAATTGTATTAATGTATTGTAATAAAGCAACATACCAGCGAGACATAAATTAATCAGAAATCTGTTTCGAAACTCTATTTTTTTTTTTATATATACCGATTTCTTTGAAGTTGCTTTATCCCTGCCTACCGGTGAAATGCGACAGGGCCATCGTCAAGGCTGGTTACATTTGACACGTAGATTAGCAGACCTGTTCATTATGCAGTATTTTTTGTCTCAAAATTTTGTGCCAAGTTAAATGGTGCCACATAAACTGATCAACGGACTAGTAGATTCGATGAGTCATCTAAGGTATTATTAACAACCATATCTTAAATTATTCTTTTAGCGTCTCGTTGGTCACAAATTGCTCAGTAATCTTTATCCAAAACCAATGACGGTGTTCAGTGTCTGGGTTAATCTATTTAATTTTTTATGGAATTTAGATGCCTACTTTTTGGGAAATATCAGTTGCATGTTTGAAAGAATTTACAAAATTGTTTACATCATATTGAAAAAGAATCTCTGCAATAGTGTCATAAAATGGTAAAAGAAATAAAAAAAATACATACTGCAGTTCTTTTGAGGCGGATATATATTTCTGAAAAGACGTAGGAATTAATGATCAGAATAATTATGAAACTCAAATAACCTGGATCTTCTGATGAACAGTCATATCATTCTTTTATTCTTCCCATGACGAGGCAAACAAGGGTTTTGTCAGCAAAAAATCATAAAAATAGAAAATTTCTCATGCCCTACGGTGCATTATATTGGAATTTATTTAGAGTGATTTAAAACTTAAAACTACCTCTTGGACAAGACACTAAAATTTGCGAATACAATTATTCAAAGAAATCAGTATAAAAAAGTGTATTAGGGAGTTTTGTTTTTACTCCCTATAAATGCCTATCTACATCTTGAATTTCTGTGACTATACCTTTAGGGTCCTATTTTGTCAATGTCTTCAAGAGTCCCTTTTCTTTATTCTTTCTAATTTCTAAATTCCCACAAAAATAGTTGAAAGATATAAGAGTTTGTCGATACTTCTACTTAAATACACATTAAAAGATTTCTAAGAGACTCATTGTATCTTGTCTCTTTGCTTGCACCAAGGTAAGCAAGTAGCAACGAAAATCTAAACAACGCCTTGCCATAACAAACCAATTTTCATATCCAAAACTCTCTCTCTTCCTTTATTTATGAATTGTCGCTTCCCATTCATTTATGAAGAGTTCTTCTGATTAGTACTTGTATCTCTAATATTTATCCAACACATTTGGATAATTTCGTTATACTCTTATCATAGATGACTCGATATTCAGATTTTGACATTCTCAAAATTGCACAAGGAATTTGGAGTAGGTAATTGATTACTGGACCGAAATTTCATTCGGCGTTTATCATTTCAGATCATGGGAATTAGCTTCACTTCTCACTCATTAGGAGCACATACTGACTATATTAACCTTACAAACATTATTAAATGTTCAAACTTTTTAAGAAGACCGAACAGGGCTACGAAAATTACTCGGTGAGTGAAAATAAAAGTAGACTAGAACCATAGCAAAATACTAATTCGTCAACACTCCAGAAAATGGACAAAACAGTCATTCAGAAGTCGGGGCCTGTGCAGTTATGTTCTAAGTTGCAGAATAAAGAAACTACAATTCTTAAGAACCCTTGTCACTGCCTAAATTAAGTAAACTTTCTTGGAGTTGCAAAGGCCAACCTATATATTATATACCAGTACTAATTTAAGATGGCAAACAAACTGCTTGAAATAGCCTACTAATAAACCTCCTGCTTGATCCAAATTTAACGTGTCAAAAAGCAAAAACGGGGAGCTGGCCAAATTTCCTGAAAATCCATCAGATGTTGCCTTCAGTTCAATGCATTGAGATAAAAATCAGTGTCAAATGGAGGTTTGAACAGTTCGATTCCCTGAAAGCTACCACCAGCATGACTATTAGCAGCCAATGTATGGTCACGAGGATCGGATGAAGGTTGTCCATCACCCTGCCAGTATTCACAGGACAGAAGCGGCACACCTTGTGGAATTGCCTGCATCATCTGCTCGGGCATGCTGCTCTGATTTGCATGTGTTGGGTGGTTCAGTGAAACAGTCTCAGGCTCGGATGAACCCCATGAATTAGTTGACAGAAGAGAGAGAGCACGAGGAAATTCCGGTCCTGTACCCATATTGAACATGGATTCCTTGGCACCTGATAGAAAAATGCAAAACTAACCTACTTCAGAAAACTTATGCTGGAATTTAATAATCTTGCACTTTCAATCAGCTTCCTCTAACACTCAAAAGTCGTCTTGACTTCCAAAGCTTTTCAGCATTCTACAATTCTTCAACAGTGAACGTATTAAAGGATCAACTTTTCAAAATCTCAACTTTATTTCTTCCATAAAATATATTCATATAAAGTAAAGTGAGTCGATAAGTGATCCTGACTCCATTTTCAAAAAGGACAACAGCCAATCCCACTGCTACTATCAGTTATATACTGGACATCATACTTTCATATCTAACAAAGTCTCTACAGAAAAAAAGATCGACAATAAATAGAGGGGAATGTCTAATCTCAACAATGGTGAACTCTCGAAGGAGAGTAACTAATCTAACAACAGCTAAGATATACTTATTCTGTAGTCTTGTCTAAAGATAATTATGAGGAAGATAAATGTCTCAGAAATCAAACTCTTGAATGTCTCCCATGTATGGTGAGTCTTACGCAACTTCTGCAGCTCCTAAGTTTTTTCCAAGCTAAGTGCATGTGATTGTTATCTTACATGCAAGTGAACATTTTACCGCCTTTGGTGCACTGCTTTGATCTCTAATTAGGAACAAACTTATTAACTCATCTCAGAGGTAGTGATATTAGGTAAGAGCTTTATGTTGTCAGCTAACTCTTTCAATTTATTAGATACCAAGTATGAAAATAAGTCATAATCTCCAACCCCAATGCATAGCATAACAAGTCCAGTTCTACTTCAGCCACTTTTAAGTCTCATCAGTAGCACTCTTGCTAAATCCCATAATTGACTCCTAAATGAAAATGCCTTCAATTCCTCAGGAACTGTTGGACAGATAAAACTACAACTCAAGCAAAAATAAAGAAGGTTCCATAGTAATAAAATAAAGCTTTCAACCAAAGTGCTTCCTATCATGTTTCATCACATATGGGATGGCCAGATGGAGAAAAGGTACATTTATTGAAGGGTTCTAGTTAAGATCAGTACTCCATAACGTGTAACCCATAATGCAAATGTAATGCACCTATTGTTGACTACCAATTAGCCTTATCAAAAGAAAACGTTGACTACTAATTAGGATAGAGATTCTTTAACAAGAATTGCTGCTTTCAGGAGTCTAACTAATGATTATGCAACTAAATTGATGGAACTGTTTTTACAAAAAGATACAAATAGAGGCAGGGAAAAAGTAGAGATCTGCTTTACTATATATATAAAATTTGCAACATCTTGGACAAAAACTGCACAGAAGAAAGGCTTTGGATCCTTGATAGTGAAACAAACCTCGATTGAAAACCTCGGCTGTGTGGCCCTTGGAGGGCAAGAGCAAGCAGCTAGATACATTACCGTGTGCACCCACGGCCCGTGAAAACTGGATCCCTGGCAATAATGACTGCCCATTTGTACTGCCATCTCTTTCAGGCTTTGGAGCTAATCCTCTTGTTATACTGAACTTAGTTTCTTCAGTGCTTTCCCAGGTAGAATTTGCAGCAGCTCTACACTGAACCAGGTTGGAATGGTTGAGCACAAGATTCATAGGTTGCCTGCTATCTGTAATCATAAAAGCCCATAAGATGACAATTAAGCACCAAACACTGCTTAAACCATAACAATGTCTTATATTGATTAGCAGGTAATCCACGAAGCACCCTCACTTTCCAAGCACAACTAATTGTTATTAATTATATGCATGCATTTCATTTTAGATACAAATGATGTTTGGCATCTTAAATGTATCTGGATTATTAAAACCAATGCCACTACAACTGGTTGTTTACACCAGCAAAGAAATGTTATGAAAAGCTTTTTGAATAGTAGTCGACAAATTACTGTCCATGTTAACCTATTCTCAATAACTATTACTAAAGCCTGTCATTTGAATACTCAAAGCCACATTCCAAGAAAGGAAACGCCCAATCCAAACATAGACAACATACCATAAAACAATGAAGAAAGCCTTGCCGAGTTGAACTGGATGGTTTCCTGCTGTGGTTTGCGGCGTCGTGCATTGTGATCAGAGAGCCTCCTGCGGCAGCTTCTCTTCTTTTCATCAAATTCAGACAAGCTATGGAACCTTAATTTCAAGGATTCAAAAATAAAAAAAATGAGCAATGTGCTAAAGCTACATTTAGAAGAAGAAGTTGCCAAAAGGCACAGATGTGCATTCCAAGGACATAACGATCTAATTACAAGGATATCTACCTGCTACACTGTTGACAAAAGCGGCGTAATACACCTGCTATAATGACCTTTGGGCATTTGGAATGATTTTCACAAACTCGATGCTTCCGGTAATATTCTTTAGCTGATGAAAGATCAAGGTTGCAGCCTTCAACCTGACAGCGTGGAGTTGGTGCATTCTGAGTAGATGATTTTGTTTTCTTTGCTGCTGCAGCAGATGATACGTGTTTATCGGGGAAGGATGAAACCTTAGCACCACCGATGGTCTCAAATGTCCGCTTACCAAGTTTCAGACCTACAAGTGGTTCAACAGAGCCTACTGGAGCCTCCATGGGGGGTGAATTTCTAGAGCAAGGTTTCACTTTCTTACTAAGATCCTCAGGAGAGCCATCGAAAGAAAAGTCGGATGCTTTCAAGCCCTCCTTTGGTGAAGAGTCAGTAGAAGCTGATATTGAGCTCTTGATCGAAGAACCACACCCAACATCAGAGACATAACCACCAGTACCACTACCACTACCACCACTCGACAAATTGAAGGATCCAGCATCAAGTTCTCCATCTTCTTCAACTCCCCAATCTGTTAATTGTAGTTCTTTTGGACTTTTGGCGACCTCTGAACCAAACATTACCAGGTTTCCCCAGTCCCACTTTGCATTCCACTCCATCTTGGGGAAGAAGCTACGAGATGGCTTTAGTAAATTTCCACACTCATGGAATGCAAAAAAGTAACTAGGACTCAGATCTGCAGAATATCCACCATATAAAGTTAACTTCTATCTGTTCCTAGATTGACAAGTACATAATTTCACCAAGGCAAAAACAAACATTCCATGAAACAACAGGAAAGTTCGAATCAAACAGCAAGAACACAAATCCCAAGACTAAAAAACAGAACAAATAATGTAGCATGGCTGGAACACAAATTTGATGTTCTACCTCAAAACTGTAACTCACTAATTTTCTTTCACACTTTCAAGATCGTATTGTCATTCTAATCCAAATTCTTTAAATAGGCCAAAGCAAGAGGAAGTAAACTATCCCCACAGAGCAGTCAATCAAACATGTAAAGAATAAAAAAGATTGTCCCTCAAATCACTAATAAAAAAGCATCCAAGCCCCATAAATTGGAAGAGGTTACACACAATAGCGTCCGAAAATATTCCTCTGCTAGTTCCCACACATATAGCCATGACCTTACAAAGAGCAGCATCTCAACCATTCCCTTCAAAACCCATTTACTAACAAGATCCTGAATTACTCCATTATTTTTAAAGAGAGAGAAACGATAAGAAAATAATTACTATCTTTGTATTCTAAAGCAGCTCATCAAGCATATACAACAACTTCAATTATTTTGCAAGAAGAGGTAGAAAACGAGTTCACCTTTACCAAACAGAGCTGTTGGAGACAAAGAACCACTAGTAGACAAAGAAGTATATTAAAACTATTCAAATACAGAAACAGAGCTCAAGCCCTTCTAATCCAAGACCACAAAATGCCTCTCCCCATCTATTGCATCCCTTAACTCCACCACATCATTTTCAGCTACTTGTTGTTTTCTCACCTAATCAAATGAAAGCCAAATAAATAATGAAACATTGAATTGTTTATCAACCCCACAAACAAGTGACTAGGTGTAATAAATATGCAAGTTTAGAATTTTCTATCTTACACTTGATTGTGACTAGATTTACATACACCCCTTTTCACAAAATGTGAATAATTTAATTTGTATGTTTTCCTCAAATAAAAACACATCTTCTGGAATAAAAGTTACTCCTGTTTATTTTGGCATAGAGTAGGGGGTAGTTAGGGAAAGTAATGGTCCCCCATCTTAGGGTTTCATGGGAATCCACACCCAAAAAGAAGAAGACAGACTTTTCTATGCTTCCTTAAAACTGATTAACTAACGCATGAATGAACTCTCTTTCTTTTCCAAGAAAATGCGACATCGTTTATGCTGCCTTCCCATATTACATTAAATAAATACATACATACAGGTGAATAAAGAGCAAAGAAAAGGGTGTTATGCAAGTTTTTAGCAAATAGTGATGCATTTTCTTCATCTGTTACATATAAATATCACCGTAATAAGAAACAAAATCAGAAACCAAGAAAAGGGTGTTTGATGAACTCAGTCTGTTTCTCCATTAATCAATGGAGAAGTAGTAATAAGGAAACAAAACCCACTTCTTTGGAAATGATTAGGGTGAAAAAATAAATTGAAAACTAAATAGGTAGTATAAAAAGATACACTAATTCTAAATCGAGAAATTCCGTCTAAATGGAAGCTTTGAGAAATCAAGAAATCATTCCCTTAATCTGTTTCTCCAGAAAAGGAAAGAATCAAGTGGGAAAACAGCAACAAAAAACAAAGAAACCCTCAGATTGTTTTGATAATGATTTAGATAAGGTAAAAGGCAAAAATAACGAACCTAAATATGTATTCATCTCAAAGAAAAGAAAATGATTAGCTAGCTTGGTAAAGAAGAAAAAAAGCTCACCTATGAATATGATGATAATAGAGAGAAAGCCAATTTTCTTGGAAAACTTTAGAGTTTTTACACTTTACCAAATGAAGAAAAAGAGAGAAAGAGGCATTATATCAGGAATGCATACAGACAGCAGCAGCAGCAGTAGTAGTAGAGAGTGTGACTGGTGAGTGACCCTGCTGTCAGTGAGAGAACGACAGTGTGTGAGCTGGTGCTGGGTGATAGCTTTTATCACCTGTGTGCGGTTACATGATAAGAGGTTTTACTACTCCATCTTTTTTCACTGTGGGATGGATATGTAATGGGACACGCGGATGGTTGTTTAAGTGTACAGCTATTTATTGACAGCTTTTTCTCTTGTATAGAGTTTTTGGTGCCACATATTTAAGTTGTACAATTTTGTGTGCTTGCTGGTAGGCCCGTTCAAACGCTTATTTACTTATTGATATCGGGATAATGTATGATGAACAAATTAAAATTTTATAATTAATAATTTAACAGTTTAGAATAAATTACTCAATTTTTTTATCGGGTAAACTGTTAACCCGTTAAAATTTTTTATATTTATATTTTTATCCTTATGTATATAAAATACTATTAAAACCTAAATGGCTAAATCCCTTCTAATTCTCAATAGAATTGTCGTCTATCGGTAGCTAATGGCATTGGCAGTCGTCTTTGGCTTCTAATCAGGAAAAGCTACTACAACTAACAGAGATAGTTTGAACTATGCATTTGGCTGTTTAGTATTGATTGTTCAAAAAAATTCTATTTGGTTTAGCCGATAAACCGCTCGATAACCGCCCGATAATTATCAATCCGACACCAATCCGCCCGTTGTCTTATTGGATGGCTAACGGATTACTACATTTATAATTCGATAAATGATAAGCCGAACCGCTAAACATAATTATCAGTCCAATCCGCCTAATAAGCACCCCTACTTGCTAGTGTAATTTTACTTGGTATAATCGGATATGCTTTTCTATAGACTTGATGCGATGAAAAATCTGACACTGTCACTGCATAAAAGTTTTACTTCATTTATACATTCAATAGCTATATGAAAATTATTACTGTAATATTGACCTAATGGGCACATGCTGATATTTATCTGTTTTGAAGTTCACACATTTATCTCTTACATCGTTTTACATGTGGATTTCAAACTTTATTCCTATATTTCAAAACATGTCTCCTTTCAAAAAATCAGGGTATTCGTCGGTCGGTATGATACGGTAATTAGATATTTCAGTTTAATATTTTCGTATTCGTTTTCTTAAAATGCTTACCAATATTATACCTAATTACATTCAATATGATTCGACTATTCTCCTTTCTGTTTCGGTTTATTCAGTCGGTAACTTCTCTTTGTGCGACTTGAATATTAACTAGTATGTAGAGTTATAGTCTGGGATATTCTTAATTAAAGTACTCACAAATACAACGTTATAAGATCACTTGACTGACAATAAAATCTTTGCCCAAAACCAACAAGTATCAACTAAGAAAAAAAAGTTATATAAAGGAATAAATTTGATCATTGGAAATGTCTTGTTACTTGTTTAGAGTTAATTGTTGAACTTATAGAATACAACAAGGACTACTCTAATATATCCATTAGCAATATACAAGAAACGAAGTAAGTAGCGCCCTAAAACTATAGAAACATTATGTTAAACTGCTTGGTAACTTGGAGAGCAAGAATCAGAATCTACAGCATATCGTGTTCCTTCATTTTCCTAAAAAAGTAGATGGGCTTTATTGTCAACCCCAGCATGCTAAAGAAAAGTATTGTGTAACTTATAGCCTATTCGGTCAAGCTTCTCCAAAGTCAAAAGTATTCAAAAAAAAGTTAAAGTGCTTGGCCAAGCTTTTAGAAGTAAACAAAGTGCTTTTGAGTAGAAGTAGAAGCAGTTTTGGAGAAACAGAAAAAGTAGCTTCTCTCCAAAAATACTTTTTTGAAAAGTATTTTTGAGAAAAATACACTTAGAAGCAGTTTTTAAAAGCTTGACCAAATACTAATTGTTGCTCTGAAATGCTTTTTAAATTAATTAGCCAAATACAAATTGTTTATCACCAAAAGTACTTTTGAGAAAAATCACTTCTCAAAATAAGCTAATTTTTGCAGTTTGGCCAAACAGGCTATCAATATGTCATAGTCAGTAATATATGTAATGCATAACTTAATATATATTTCGATACGGTATCTATATTTTAGTATTATTTTTTTAATACTAAATATCATACCTAATATCAATTATTTTAAAATTAAATACCAAAATATTGAATACCAAATATCAAAATTTTCAATTTCGATATTATAATTCGATATTTACCATGTTATGCACAACCCAATTCGAATGCTAAATTTTACATTATATTATAAGTAGTGTTTTAGTCCATTATAACACGATACATACTAGTTTGTGGCTGCTTATGAAGGTAATATGTCAGTAAACAAAGTCTTTATAGAGATGTTTTAAGGAAGTTATGATACTTGTTTTTTCTTATAGTTCTTTTTTTTTAATTATTATCAACAAAACAAGAAGAAGAAAAAACTCTACCCAGCCTAATGTTCCAAATGACAGATTACAAATAACCTACCTTTACATACACCAATACAATAGAAGGGAGTTGTAATAACATTTAAGAAAATATCTCAATGTTGGAGGCTTTGGATTGGCCAAACAGAATTTCATTGAAACTTTTCCTTATATTTCTTATTTTTTGCTTGGATGAATCTCTCTCTCAATAAGCAGTAACGGGTATCTCGTTAAATTGATTCAAGAAAGCTAGAAGTTCTTTACAACATTATCCTACACCATAAATCTATAAAATTTAAATTCATTAAAAAATCCGTATTTGATGTTTAGAATATTGGACAAACTTTTTATAGAACTAGTCTTAAGGTACGTGCGTTACACGTGTATATAACGTCAGTAAACTAAAATTTGTATACAAGAAAAAATTAATTATGTAAAATAGAAAATTACATTAAAATAACAGTGATTTAAGTGACAAAAATAAACGTAATTACATAGACGTAGTAATTGGATATTTTCAGAGCTTGTAAAGATAAACAAATCAGTTAAGTTAGTTATATATTATTTTAATTATAGATAATTTATTTTATGAGATAATAATATGTTAGTATATTATTGAATCTAACCCAATTTCTCTTTCATAAACGATGTCGTCGGTCCTAAAAATTTCAAATTATGTATTTAATACTGAAAGAAAAATGATGACTCTTCATCATTTAACCATTTGGATGCATATTAATTTACAATAATAATAACTTACCAAGTAAAATATTTAATCAAAGAAACTATGAAAAAAGTTTTAAGCTAATCAGCGTATTTAAATATAATTAATAATTTAAGGTTGTAAAAGGAACAACAAACTCAAAAGAGTAAATTTACAGAAAAAATATAAATGAAGAACATATAATTTCAATGAGCTATATATAGTGAAACTACGTATCGACATATAACGCAAAGATTAGTAGGCAAAATTCGAGAAGAAATATTCAAAGAAAATATAAATCAATAGTTAATTTCAAACATTAGTTTGAATAGTAGAAACAAATTTTAGTTAGGAGCACAAAATGTAGTTCGACTTCATTAGGTCCTACACTAAAATTAATGCACTGCAATTTATCGCAAGTGGTAAGATCATAATAAAGAGAAAAAGAATGATTCAAATTTTCTTCAGAATTGTCGAACGAACCTCCATGCTTAATGCAAACACTACAAAAATATACTTAAAAGACAAATCTGCACTCTAGACTAATTTGCTATAACCATTGATTTTGAGCCTACAAATATGATATGAAAATAAATTATAGTTTATAATCTTAATGCAATAATGGAAGGACAAAGTTTATCCAATAGATCATTAAATTTTAATTGATTTCAAACTCCTTTATTAGGCAAAAATATACAATATTTCATACTATAATTTTATTTAGCATAAATTTATGAATGTGTGATTTATCAAGAATAAAGCGGGAGAGAATTCTTACATTGACGAAGAAGAGAAACTTCAGTTATCTTCATGAATAGTAATGCTTGAACAATTTCGATTCTTGGCCTAAATTTAATTTTCTTCCCACAAGATCTGATTTTATAAGTTGAAAAATTTAAGCCTGAATTTGTTAAAAATAAAGTTAAGCTTAAATGTTAAATTTATACAAACTAAAATCTCAAAAGTTTAATGAAGAAAGACAAAAACCTCAAATTTGAAGCAATTAAAAAAAATCGTAAAAACAAGAAAGGGCTAGACAACATATTGGATACCTACAAGGGATTTATGTTAACAAATACTAAGAACAAGGGTTTCGAAAACATATTGGATGCCTCTAATATTTATTCACAATGTTGTTATCTTTCTTAACTAACCAAAAAGAAAAGAATTATGAAAAAATATGTAAGAAATTATAGTCATGTTACATAATATAATTAATGAAGGATTTATATAAAGTAAAATTTTAATAAATTTTAAGTCCTAAATATTAGGTTCCATGCATAAACGCATACTCCTAAATTTGAGGTAAAAGTGCTAGAGATTTTTACCATAAAAAATAAAAAATTCCTAAACCTAAGCCAAGGTGGAAGTGCTCGAAAAGTTTACCAAAATAATTTATAAATAATTAATAAATTTTGTACCTAACATATCTATAAAGAATTAGTAATATTTTTCTTACAAGGAATTGATCGTTTTAAAAAAAAAAAAAAGATTCCTAAACCTATAAAGAGGTCAAAGCACTCAAAGTTTTTATAACTTATAACAAATAAAAGAAAACTCCTAAACTTAAAAGGAATAGGAAGTACTCAAAACTTTGACCTAAATTACCTATTTTTTTAAAAGAATTAATTGTTGAAGGCATGACAAACAAAAGGACTCGTAAAAGTAGTAAACG